GTGCAAGGTGCCCTTTCTTCAGGCCATCGGTTTTGCATTTTGTTTGCATAGGCAGCGTTTTTTTCATAATCAAAATGATCAGCATGTGTGCGTAAGGTGGAGGAACTAAACATCTACAATGGACGGCAACTGGCATGTGTTCAAATCATATACCATCTTCCCCCAATTGCAACGCTCTGGGGCCTGCATGCGATTAGTTCAACACAGGACCACAACAAAGAAAGCTCTCCTCTGCCAAATATGGCAGCTCGTCCAGTACCTAGCCATACGCAGCACCACATTGAGCGTCCAAGAGCTTCGCGCGACGTCCCAAGTATCCCGACTGCAAGGAGGAATGCCGCGCGATGCAGCGCTGGAGAACCCGACCTTGGCCAAACGAGACAGAACTTGATCTCTTATTCACACTGGTATGCCCGACATGTTTCATGTAAGGACGCTGCCTAAGGCAGGCAGAGCTGTTTGGCTTGGTTCTGCGGGATTCGCTGTCAAATCATGCCATGGTCCAATTCCACATCTCGCACGCAAGCGGTTGGCTTAGGCTGAGCATGACTTCAGGCGAAAAAAATAGAAAAGCCCCTGTTGGCTTGTCTGTATGTTCAGTCCCTCAAAGCAGAAAATTGATCAAGCAAACAGTAGGGAAGCATGTCCAAGGGTCAAGCAGAACTATGCCTTACAGTAGCCGATACATCAAGTAGTTCAGTCAGAACGTGAGGGAGCAGGGGCATGCGAAAGCGGATTGCCAAAGTGCGTGATATCGATGAGCAAATGTGGGTCATGACAAAAATGGGAGTGGAAGCTCTGTGGCTTTCGGCTGTTGACGTGCCAAGCACGCCCGCCGGCGTCACTCAGGCGCGGGCCCAGCGCGTTGCGCAGCGTCAGAGGGGTCACAGGGCCTCACCACTGGCTCTTTGGATGGCCCCCAATGGATGCTACAACTGGGTTTCAGGCATGCTACACACATGATCGTCCTTTCATTGGTCGGAACTATGCATTGGTCTGGTCATTTGAAGAACGGCCGGAAGGCAGGCGGGCACATTGCATGAGTTTCAGTCAAAAATCACAAGCAGCCCATGTGTCGTGTGTGCTCAAGCCAGGCCTTACACAGAGAGTCTCTCGTGGTGATGCGAAACTCTCTCTGTTGATGAACAATATCATGGTATCTCTGGTCTTGCTTGCCTGTTGAAGGGAGCTGGCAATGGAGGCTCGTCCACCATGTCAGGCCAGGCTCTACATTAAAAGCGAAAGATGAGGAATTGCGAAAGAATCAACAACAGCCGATTGAACTATAACCACTCGCCTAGCAAACCCAAAGGTGCCTTTTCAATGGGGCCTTCATCCCGGGTCAATCGATTTTATCTCCAAATGAGACTGCTGAAAAATATCGATCGAAAGCTGACATTCGCCCCAACAGAACGACTGGAAATGATGGTTCGCTTCCACAGGTCAAGATCCGGCAGGTGGTGTGTTGCCGCATTGCGCGGGTCAATGTCCAAACACAGGCGTTTGCGCACCCAAGAACTCGCCAGTCCACTAAGATCGGGTCCAAACAGAAGACAAAACTGACATTCATGATCAAAGTGAAAGAGAAAATGCCAAGCCCGTTGGGGAATCCCCCAACTCTTTGAAAAAGGGTACCAGAGAGGAAATATGGTTGTCCTCTCACCCCCGAGAAGCACAAGCTAAGACTAAGACATTGACTTGAACCCGGGCCTAGACCCTGAAATCTTCTAAAATCCTCACTGCATGGGCTTAAGCCCCTGTCAATCCTACCCATTGATTCAAGTTGCCAGCGCGGTCATTGATAATGGCTGTGTGTGTGGCAAACAGTTCATTCAACGCTGAGCGAGCGGACTCGGCTCCTTGGCGGGCATCGTGAAACACAACTCACGACCGAGGCACCACATGCAAGAACTTTGCAAAAGACTCCAAAGATTCCTGAGAGGTCCCTCTGAGAGGCCCAGGAACCTGAATATCGGGTTCCTTCTGTCTTTTCAATCCTCACAAATGGCTCTTGGTTTCGACACAAACCTACTGGTCACCTGACGTGACCGGAACGTGGTCCAGCGAAGAGGCATTGCCTGAAACAACCACGCTGCTTTTTGAGCGGCTGGGAGTTTGTCCCATCGGGAACAAGGCGAAGCATCTGCAGCTGCCTGGTGGCACTGTCGGCCATTCTTCGCACGGAAATATAGCGTGGTTTTTGTTAAGGGTACCCCTTTTGGGTTGGTTTTGAATGGACTCCACAAGAAAACGACCCCTTCTGATTGTTGTTTTTTTTTGGGGGGGGGGTGGGCGAGGGGGGCCGAAAAAGGGCCAAGCCCATATTCGATTGGTATGTCCCGTCTGTTTCGAGGTCGCTGCCCAGCAGCAAAGCCACAAGTTCCTGGCTCAAAGAGAATGCCAACGGCGTGGGAACCAATGGGCTGTATCCTCAAAATAGCCGCCCCGTTTCTTGCCCTTCCCCCAAAAGACAAGAAAAAACACAAGCAAATAGTGGTTCCCTGACAAGCAAATAGTGGTTCCCTTTGAGACCCCCGACCCCAAGCGGAACAGGTCACGTTGGCGCTGTTGCCTGGGGACGGAATCAGTTTGTGAGTCTGTCTTACCATAGTAAACCCAGATGCTCGGTGGTGCTGATCATACATCTTGTCCCGCTACACTGGCACTTAGTGCCAACCTGAGAACAGTATCTGTTCAATTCAATCTCATAAACTCTGTGCTTTCCACAAAGTGCTGGCAGAGTAAGAAACATTGATTAACATCGGCAATATCCCATATTTCTTAATATTGGCCTCTGCTAGCACAAGTTTACATAACTTTCCCCCTGCAATCTTAATCAACAATGTGATTTCGCCGTCCCCTTAACAACGATTACTACACTAAATCAAAAGTGTATCGCGTATGGACTAGACTATACCCGACATTCTTGGGCTGGTACAATAAGAAGCAAAACCATGTTGACTCTCCCGTCTGCATCTCCTAAACCAACTACGCTTCAGCGTTGCGTGCACCGCGGCAATTGTGTGTGTGTGTGTGTGTTTCCTGCAAAGTCTTTGCTTCCCGCATACACACACACAAACACCAACCCGAACACGCGCACACTGGCACACACACGCAAAAAAGGCGCACTCACACACAAACGCGCACTCACACACACACAAACACACAGACACACAGACACACAGACATACACACACACACACCACACACACACACACACACCACACACACACACACCACACACACACACACACCACACACACACACACCACACACAGACACCACACACACACATCACACACACACACACCACACACACACACACCACACACACCACACACACCACACACACACACCACACACACCACACACACCACACACCACACACACACCACACACACCACACACACCACACACACACACACACACGCACCACACACACACACCACACCACACACACCACACACACCACACACACACCACACACACAACACACACCACACACACCACACACACACACCACACACACCACACACACCACACACACCACACACACCACACACACCACACACACCACACACACCACACACACACAAGCCACACACACCACACGCACCATACACACTACACACACAGACACACAGACACACATGCAGACACACATGTAGACACACATGCAGACACACATGCAGACACACATGTAGACACACATGCAGACACACATGCAAACACACATGCAGACACACATGCAGACACACAAACACACATCGCGCCCACGCGCCCACGCGCCCACACGCCCACGCGCCCACGCGCCCACGCGCCCACGCGCCCAAGCGCACGCACGCGCACGGTGTGCGCGTGCGCGTGCGCACACGCACACACACACACACACACACACGCGCGCACACACACGCACACACACCCCACACACAGACAGACAAACACACAGACACACAGACACGACACACAGACACACACAGACACACACACGCACAGACACACAGACGCACAGACACACACACACACAGACACACAGACACACAGACACACAGACACACAGACACACAGACACGGACACGCGCACAGACACACAAGCACACAGACACACAGACACACAGACACACAGACACACAGACACACACACGACACACACACACACACGCAGACACACAGACACACAGACAAACAGACACACACACACACACGACAACAGACACACACACACACACAGACACACACACACAAACACAGACACACAAACGCACAGACACACACACACACACACCGACACAGACACACACACAGACACACACACAGACACACGCACAGACACACAGACACACAGACACACAGACACACAGACACAGACACAGACACAGATACAGACACACACACACACACAAACACACACACACAGACACACAGACACACAGACACACAGACACAGACACAGACACAGATACAGACACACACACACAGACGCACACACACAGACACACAAACACACAGACACACAGACACACACGACACACACACACAGACACACACGACACACACACACACAGACACAGACACAGATACAGACACACACACACAGACACACACACAGACACACAAACACACAGACACACAGACACACACGACACACACAGACACACAGACACACAGACACACACACACAGACACAGACACAGATACAGACACACACACAGACACACACACACACAGACACACAGACACACAGACAAACAGACACACACGACACACACAGACAGACACACGGACACACAGACACACAGACACACAGACACAGACACAGATACAGACACACACACAGACACACATACACAGACACACAGACACACAGACAAACAGGCACACACGACACACACACAGACAGACACACAGACACAGAGACACAAAGACACACGCGACAACACACACACACAAACCAAATCAACCAAACATGGCACACCGCCGGCGCCCCTGGACCAAACAAGTCACGCCAGGTTTGCCGAAAAAAGCGTTGAGGACCGCGAGTAGGTCTGCAAACGTTCGGCGGCCTGAAGGGCATCAGTGCTCGCACAATCCCTGCAGGGTTCCATGTATGTTCTACCCCAAGGTATAAACCCAGCTGAAAAAGCGGATCCCCTGACATCCACCGCATCATGTTGAGTTGAAGGGCTCGACCTGATGTGCGCAAATGGCAGGGGAATATCAAGCTGGACGCCCATTGTTTGGAGGGGCTCCGAGCATCTGGCAAGGCTCCCAGTCCCGTACTTTCACGGATGTTGACAGGTCGGGTTCGACACGCCTGCGAATCCCTTCCCGGACGTGGGGTGGGATCGCAATGCGTTGCAAGGTTGGTTCAGGATGGTATTGAATTTATTTGGTGCAGAAGAATCGGTGAGACTAAGGTTGGTTTGAAGTGGAGCTAGGGCTGGAATAGGCTTGGTTTTGGTTCTTGTTTGGTATAAAGCGGAGTTGCGGCTGGCTTTAGGGTCTGCTTGCGGGTTGGTTCTTGGGGGGTGGTATAGTGTCGGTAAATAGAAGATCATTGCTGAAACAAGAGAGAGAGAGAGAGAGAGAATGAAAACATTGTAGAGGGGTTGCCCACAAGAGGCCCTGATTCTGATTAATGACTGTTTCGTGGTTCGTTTTCATATCCATAGTTTACTAGAGAATCTGAAAGAAAGTCTTCGCAATACTAAATGTAGAATTGGCAATACTAAAATGAGTACTGGAAATCTGAGAGTGCGTCTTGGTAACACACAATTTAGAATTGGCAATGCTAAATTCTATAAGTACTGGCAAGTCGAAGTCGAACCCAGACCCCCGAATTCCGAATTGTCCACCAAAAAGGCACTGTAGCATTGTTCCAGGAGCTCTTAAAGCAAACAGTACAGGGCTCGGAAAGTAATTGTTTCCAGGCCCATGTAGGGTTTGTATAGAGTCGAAAATTGATTAAGAAACTGGCCTAGGGTTGAGGCAGTGCGGGTTTAGGGTAGGCTTGGGGTGGGTTGAAGGTGGGCTTAGGATGGAATTTGCCTGGTTTGGAGCAAGTTTGGGGCAGACTGAGGGTTGCGATTCAAGATGGATGACAGTGGGCACGGAAACATCAGCCAGTCAGAAAGACGTTCAACTCCCCCCCAACGATATGGTCCTCCCCCAGAATTCTACCGGAGGACAAGTCCGCCACTAGAGGGTCCCTTGAGGAAAACGGTCCAGACTACAAACTAGCCGTTCAATGGCACCGTGGAGCCGTCCAGGAAACCACCTGGCTGGTCCAGTTTGGTATTCCATTTGTCTGCTACGTCCCGTGAGTCGTATTCCGACTTTCATCTTGGGTTGAGGCTATCGCTCCGGGGGGAACCAGCTAGCTATGAGAGGTTTTCTTGTGTGAACACCAAGAGGAAATCGACCATTTTGACGCTCATCCACTCTTGGCGAACCACTACCCATTGACATTCACCCCCATTTCGCCAGCAGTGCCTTCATGACAACTTCTTTGGGAAGCACCCCCGCAAAAGGGCACCTTCATGGCGGCGAAATGGGCCCCCCAAAAAAATCACACACACACACACACGCCCAAAAAAAGAAGAGGCCAATTCAAGGGCGCGCCCTGGAGAACAAAAAAAAAAGCAAAGCCCAAAATTGGAACCACCCCAGTCCGCTGGCTGTGACACTGGAGCAAAAATTGGAACCACTGGATCCACCCCAGAGGTACAGCCGGACTGTCCGGCCTGCGGGCAGGGCTCCAGAGCCTCGAAGAGCTGCACCAAGCGCAGCTGCGCCTCGTGTGTGAGACACGCGGGACACGTGGATGGCACCCATGTGAGCCCCCGTGTTGGTGGTGTTTATGGGGGGGGATCTATCTGGGTGAATTATTAACTTATAATATTTCACCAAGCTGAAACTTAAGGTTGCGGGGCTATTCCCCACATAAACCATTTGGGGGGAGGTCGTGTGAGGTCGTTATAATTCACCCAGATAGTATATAAAGTATAACATGTACTTAATCAGCATATAACATACTATATGTATATATATATATATCATATATGGGGTTGGGCTCTCGGGCAATTCCACCTGGGGAGTTCGTCAACGTTGAAATGGGGGTTGCTTGGGGTTCTCAGATGCAGCGACGTTGTTGAATTCTTGGGTCCATCAAAAACCACCCAAAAAAGGCCAGGACTTTCAGAATTCCGATCCCCCAAAGAATACAAAACACCTCATGGAAAGCCATTTCCCCTGAAACCCCCCCACATTGAAGATAAGACTTGCTTTCTATAAATCAAAGGACTTGCGGCAGCTTTTGGCCGCTTGACTCATTGACGCCTCCTCCAGGTTCTGCGCCAGGTGCCGCAACAGCTCCAAGGCGCCCGCCCGCACCAGTGCCAGGCCTTCGGATTTCGTCGGTTTTCGGGACGCGACCCCGGCGCGCGAAATGGGCGCTGGGCGGGACGCGCCGATCTCTGCATTCTTCGCGTGGCAAAGAGTTAAACCAGTGCTGCCATGGTGGAGGCTAGTGACTGGAAAAGAAGGTATACATTGGTATCAGTTCTTGGGGTAAGACCACTTTTAGTGCCAGAACAAGAAAAGGGCTGAAAGCCACGGAAGAACTGGGTCTGGTGTTCCCTGGATCAAGCTTGGGCCTTTTTCAATGTGGTTTTTCCAAACGGGTTCTAGCTATTCCTTGGGCTGAAATATCATGGTGCCATGGCAACAACAAGCCGGACTCCATGTCAAGCTGCAGCGGGTCCCTGCACAGGGACAATGGCGCCCGGGTTGAGTAGGTCATATGTGACAGTGGCTGCGGTTGTGTTTTACTTGCATGGTTGCAGGCCATCGAGACCCGTTGTGCTTGCTTAGACTTATCTCTCAATTGCTTTCATCTTTCCATTGCATTGTCTGCTTTCCAACCTCAACGCCATTTGCAGAGTCTAATCTCTCGCCCAAGCCAGCAGGCAGGTGAGGGCGGAACGAAGAAAACAAGAACTCCGCGCAGCTTCTGGATGCTCGCTTTCGTAGGAGGCTCTTGAGACACTTCTAGTCTGGATAAGATGAACACCCCTTGCAGACAGGCCCAAGCGAAGCCGTGTCTGGAGGGAAAAGTCTTCTTCTTGCGGCTGGTGCTACTGATGTTGCTGGTGTCGTTGCTGTCGCTCTTGTTGGTGTTGTTGCTGCACTGAACCTGTTTGCGAAGCCTTCCTGGGCTGCAAATATGATGGATGCTTGGATGCCGCCCCCCACCCCACCTGGATTCCGTCAGCCAAGATATTCCAGGCCAGGGGGTATGTGATATCACTATTTGAGAATCAGCCATTTCGCACTATGTGGCCGGTTGTGATTGTACATTGTCGCTTTTACAAGCCCGCATGCATTCGATTCTTTGTAGTGCACGAACTCCGGGGGTAGATCTTGCAAGTCTGCCAGGCATAATCGTTGCAAAAGACAGACAAACACTCATAGAAATGGTTGGCAACAAATGAGGGAACAAAAAAGTCAATCACATTCCTGGAAACGATCTGGCGTGCTGCTCTAAGGAGATACTCACAGCGCCACTTCTGACTCTCCCGCATCTGAAACCAATATGGTTGTGTGCTTGTTTTACGGACCCCCTTTTGCGGCTGTTTTAAAGGGAAACCAAAAGGACACCATCCATTCTATAGGTTCCCATATTTTAAGATAAATCCTTTGCTGGCTACCTTTGATTGGTGGGGAGAAATGAGTGGCTTAATTGCAAAAAAAGCAGGCGTGCGCTACACAGGGCCAAAATGGGCCAACAATCACTAAGTCTCGAACGGAGCATCTGACTGGCTTGCTGGTGCTTGGTAGGGAATGAGGAAACGAACCTGGGGGATTTCCTTAAAGGAAACCATGGGGGAGGGTTTATAGGGGTCGTTCCATTTCTCATTCCCTGCATCTCTTGCACCTGGGTCCATCGATCCGGGGTCCCGTGCGGTTGGCCTCCTCCGTCTTTGCCAGGAGCAAGGCGGCGTCCACCAACATGCCAAGACACGCCCAGCGGCTGTCCGTCACCAACCTGGAGCTCCGGCCAGCCCGACCAGATCAAACAAAACAAGGCTTCCTATAGCTTGGCCCTGCGAACTGAACATCCAAGGGAAGTCTTCACCACTTTTCGTATGGTTGCAAAAAAAACGTTGCTTTTGCAGCCCCCTTCTAAACATGAATAAAACCAAAAAACAAACAACTTGCCAAGAACAGTGAAGAGTTGGCCTCTAAGCGTGGCAAGCTACCTAAAGACAACCTCTGCACGCCCCACTTTCGGCGCAGCTCTTAGAGAAACAGCGCCAAGCAACCTTCCTGCTGGGCCACAAGTAAATAGAAGCCTGGCTAGAAGACCCATTCTGCGGTTCAAAGGCGGACAGCACACGCACACGCACCCGAAAGCCTGTCTATGCTTGCCAGTCTCGTTAACACTGCTTTCCACCATAGGGAACCTCTCAGTGATCATGCGCCAGATGCGAGGCAAGGCAAGTCCGATTCAAAGAGATCTTAAAGGCATCAAGAGTCCATGGACTCCCTTCTGCATAAGGACAAAGAAAAACGCCTCACATGAGCCAGCACTGAATCCAGTGCATGGAAACTGGTCAGGTTTGCCATGTGATCCCTCTTTCTGAGCCGTGTGTTCCCATGCCAAAAATCGGCCAGGATGCCCTGAAACAATGGAACTGAAATTGGGCACAGCTGTGTTTGACGCCCAGTTGTCAATGTACTAGCATAGGTGGGTTTTTGAAATAGATGGCCCTGGTAAGTGGAAAACCCATTCTAAACAAGGGCCCTCTATTTTTTTGGAGCAAACCAACCAAAAAGGACACCTGTGTGTATTAGTGAAACGTTGGCATGTTACAATGCGCGTTGATCATAGCGTGCCTCTCTTCATCTTCTTCCTCCTCCTCTTCAGCGGGGCGCCCCGTGATCGCCAGGGAGATCGCGTTGACGATTGAGGCCGCCCCATTCTGGCGAATGTGGTCGCCAAATATGTGTTTTGGGGCGACCATCTGTCATAGTTCTAGGGGTTCATTCCTTGTCCATTCTTTCCAGCCATCTTTCTTTTCAAAAACCAGCCATTTCCCAGGGTTTTTGGTGGTTTTCTAGAAGGAAGGATCCCTGGAAAGAATGGGGAAGTTACCCCTAGAAAAGCCAAACAGTCTCACAACACCCGCAAAAAATGTCCACTGATGTCTGTCGCATCCCGGTTTCCCCCGAGACAAAACGCTCAACTATCCCTGGCAATAGGGTAGAACAAATGGGTCCCGAGAAGGAAACCAAGGAAAAACAAACAAATGTCTACACTGGTCGTTTGGTCACCTGACAAAAACTCGCACCACCACTATCTAACATAGGATTGGGCCAACGGCAAGCTAGTGATACGTAAAGCTTCTTCATATCTCCGTTTCCACCAGTACAGTGGTTTGTCTCTGGGACAAGTTGCAGTCCCAGCCAAGTCCAAGCGGCAGTTTCACGCAGGTACTTCTGGCATGTGGTGTTCCTTGGCTGAATTCTATTTCTGTCCCGGGCAGGATGGATCCGGTATGTTCAAGCGCAAAAGATGTGGAACATGGATGTCCACAATCATGAGCGAAAGTTTTTGCCTCCAAGCAACTGATCTTAGATTCTTTATGGATTGCCCGTTCACACATTTGCATTCTATGCGGACACCAGTGTACGGCCATGTGTCCCAAAGAAAGCAAAAACAAAACCTGCTCAGACTGGCAGGGTTCGGCTTGGAATGAGTTGAAGGTGCCATGCTCGGTGCCTAAAAATTAACATCTAAATGAACAGTTGCACTAGATAGTACCTAGACAAAGGCTCATTGCGAGCAACCTGCGAGCATCCAACACCTGCATGGAGAAAGAAACCTACATGGCCGTGAGTTGCCGCGAGAACTGGGATTGCGGCACTCCGCTAGGTGTCCAAGATCGATGCTCACACTGGCACCGTCACCCCAATCAACCAACCCCACAACAGATATCCACAGCCGAAAAAATGGTTGTCGTCTTTTTGGCCGTGATGAATATTGCTCCATTGAGCGTTGTGCTGCTCCGTCACTTCCAACAAATTGCTCCTTGGCTTTCACAAACAAAACAGCTCATGGATTCCTTGCATATAAGAAGTTCACAAACAAAGCAGTTCATGCTGACAACATGACAGGTTGGTTGCACATGGACAACCCGGCAATCGTCTCCTCCGAGCGGCCTACGCTACATTGGTGGCTGGCAGTCGGGGTAATCTATGCAGATGCTTCGGAAAGAAAACTCCGGGCTCCGGCCCCCTTTTGACTGCCGGCTGCCAGTTGTTAAAATCAGATTTGTTTGCCCATATCTACATAGGCACCACAATCCTGCGACATGCCACCACTCTCTGTGAGCCCATTTCAGCCGAACTTTGATGAAACCATGTTCAGGAAATCTGCGCCTCATGGTTGTTTTGCCACTTACTCCCAGAATTGGCTTCTGAACCACTGCACTGCTTCACGACGCTGTGCAAGCACCCTGCTCACGAAGATTCTAAATATGGGTACCCAAATAAGGCAACCTGCAAGAATTCATTTGGACCTGCCAGACTTGTTGAAGACTTCTGCAAACATGAACATGTCACCCACACGCAGGTAAGCGGCAAGTGCAAACGCACATGCAAGCAAGGCAAGCGAACAAAGCAACATCCAGAAGCGCAACCTTACTTGTGCCTGAGCCAAGCTGACGATTCATGCTTGTGCCTCTTTGCGTTTGCCGCACCAAGCCTCAAGAACCTGCGCATGCCAAGCAAAAAACCCAAACAGCTGATTCCAGTTTCGAGGTCGCCCAGAATTCGCGGTGAACCGATCCAAGGCAACCTAAGGCAAAAGCGATTCCAGTTTTTAGGTCCGGAAAAAAATGCTGTGAAACGCATCGAGCGTCCCCACCACGTTGATCAAGCACTGCAGGAGGTCCTTCGCCACTTTGCCCCCGGCCGTCAAGTCCTCCTCCTCCAGCAGCGTGAAAATGGCCTCAATGAAGCCCTGCACTGTGACGATGGTCCTGGAGAAACGACAAAAGAAGAACAGGCTACACAGAATTGATATGCTATATATTTTTGAATTGGAGATACTAGCACATATGTATATATATATATATTATTGCATATATCATATCACATATACATGTATACAGTGGATTATATATATAATGTACAATATATATATATAGATACGTATCTTGTCTTGTGAGCTGCAAATACGGCATGGATGTGTACTGTTCTACGGCACACCGTCCAATGATAGTTGCAGGCATGATCTCCTAAAAAAGTGGAGTCCAGGAAGTGATCATCGAAGACTGTGTATCAGCAAAACCCCCTAACAATGCAAACCAGAAACCAAGCGTTGGTCCAGACCAAAAGGACATCGACATGCAACCAGGCTCTGAGCGGGGTCCCTAGTATTCACACAAACGGTGCGCAGTAAGCACTGGACACGCGGGCAGCAGGGCACTTTCCCAACGGCACGCATGGGCTGCTGCAGCTGAGCATTGTTTATGATTTCTTTGCGAAAGCGCGTTCCAGAATTCACGCATGCGCCAGCAACGTGATTCATAATAGATGAAAATGACTCTGAAACGATCGTATGTTAAGTTGATACAAGCCATGCGAGCGATAATCAATTGTGAGGCTGCGCATAGGCCCTGCCTGATGCGCAATGATCGGTTTGCAGTATGTTGTTTGCATTGGTGTTGATCAGATATCGTGGAAGCTGTTTATCTCAAACAGCTTGGCTGCTTGCGAATTGAAGGCGAGGGCCGTTTGTGAGAGGGGTGCATACAAGAATGATTTCTCGAAGGAAACTGGCTTCTTTAATGTCATCATCGAGCATCCAGCGCGCCCAAAACGTTGTCATCCTCAATCAAACAGTCTTTTGAGCTTAAATGTGCATTGTGCATTGTACATACGATAGCTGTGATATTGGGCTTCGTGATGACTGTTTTAGACACGAGCCTTCCAAGGCAATCTCTTCCATAAGTGGTTTGTGCACACGTCCTTCAGCCAGACACAGCGACAACCCGGCAAGCCGATAAGAAGCTTTGACAGGCCATGGATTAAACCTGTTGTGGATGTCCATGTTTGACTGTGACACATACCGATAGGTTGAAGAGCAGGGGATAAACAGGTCAGCACAGTAATGTCACAGCTGGTGCCCTTGGCACGCCCTGATGACGCTAGTACGCTGCCTCCAAATCCAACATATCCAGCCAGTACGATTTAAAGAACGGTCTCAGGTTGGGTTGGAGTCGATGTTGGCAGGCTATTCTGATTGAACATATTGCCTATTCATTTCCTCCAATTTGATGAAGTCCAAGCGCAGCCAGCTGAAACCATCAAAGGAACCTCCATGCAATGCCTCTAATCAAGCTGAGGCTCTGAATGTCTGTGTTGCTCTCCGTGATCAGCAGCAACAGCCCCAGAGACTCGTTGCGCACGTAGTCAATGGGCGAGCTCTGCAAGATGTGCATCAGCTGGCCCAAGGACCTCTCACTTTGGGCCGTGTTGCGACAGCAAATGAGCCATGTCCTAAACGTGTCATGATTTGCTATGTCGTATCATTCTGCGCACGCCAGCTTACGCCACCTTGCACGCGAGTTTTTCCTTGCGCGCTGGTCGATATGACATGACTCTTACTCAACATGTACACGGAGGCTTTGGACGCCGCTCATACGTGTCCAAGGGCGCTGCAAATTTGTAAGGAAGGTGTGCATCGATTGACATTGGACATTCAAACAGGCGACTATGGTGGGTTTCGTGCTGTGGCTTGGAACTTGCATCTCATGCTCCACTTCTTCCATACAAGAGGTCAAGTGGAGAACGAACACCTCCTGTAATTTGCTGCAAATCGGCTATCTGTTGAAAAACCTCCACATTGATTTCATCAAGCAACTGTTGACGAACAAGGCATCTCCAACTATAGTCCTTTGAAGGCGAAGCCCTTGGCGCATCGTCAAAGGGGTCCTTGAGCAGCCTGTGACTTAGACAATTCACCACTGCTCGCTTGCACACATCCGTCAGACAATCGCCAGGTGCTGAGTGACTTGAAGAGGGAAGCCTTTTTAAATTGTTCAGTGCATTCAATACGAATGTAAAAAGCCAGGACAAGAGTCATCAGGAACGGCTTCCAAGGCAAAGACATGCACCAGAAATGCTAGTTCGCATTGAATTTTGCTTCAAAGCACTACTCAAATCTATGACTCTCCTCTTCCCGGAGTTCTGGGAATCCTCAAGGGCAATCCCTGTCAGGCACCATCTGATTTTCCCACCCCCAAGCCTACAAATGGCTTACTCATGTGTACTCAGCGCATGCATTGACTCAATGTTCACCCAGGATGAACAATGACATCTATACCTGATGCCTTCTGCAGGCGAACATCGGGTGCCTTTCATCTTGAGCTGTAAAGTCCCGCGAAAACCATGAAAAACCGGCCCGCGCGTGCTGGTGCTTTCACAAGGGTGCTTGACACGTGAGCTCAAGCTCGCTGAAGCCCAAACGAATGCACGTTGATGCGAGGAAACAATATCTATAATTGTCTTAGGTTAGAAATCACCGCTTCTCCGTCCTGCGTCTTTGAGTTTGCCGTCCGTCCGAAGTCCGAGGCACCCGGGATCCGCCAGGATGGCTGAATCCACCGGCTCGGGCAGTCGCCGGTAGATCTTCTGCAGCAGGAGCATCGCGTCGTACTGTGTGGCCGTCTCGCCTCGATGCCGAGAGTTGGAGCCCTGTAAGGGACCAGCTTGGGACAGCCCAAGGAGTGGATGAGATGGTGAGTGTTGTAAGATTTGCTTTTGCGCAAAATGTAGCGAAGCTGCTTGCGTTGGTCTTTCAAGAATGAAAGAAGAAGAAGAAGAAGAAGAAGAAGAAGGGAAGCTGGGAAGGAAGGGAGGAAGGAAACCAAACGCGGTGCAAAGTGTGTTAGATCGATTCAACCAGGCTTGCTGCCACGAATTCCGCCGGAATGCGCTCCTGGCTTTAGATGCCATTGGCACTTGGGCAAGTAAGGCGCCCCTCCAGCAAACAAAGTAATGCCACTGTGCGGTATCAAGGACGCGGTGTGAGTTGCCATGTTGGGAATACAAGATTGCATTTTGTTTGAAGAGCCAGCGTCTAAATTACTTGTGTTGCATCGGAATCAAACCGTTTCTCTGCTCTTGTCCTCTCTGGTTGTGGGGTATTGTTTTTTGGACGTCCCGCATCGTTGTTCAGACCCTACGTAAAGAAAATGACAGGCCTTGTGAAGCTAACTCATGTGCATCTTCCGACATATCTCACAACATACCTCACATGTTGAGTTCGTCTTGAAAGGAGCTCACTTGAAACCAACCCTTTTGTGAGCTCCCTCCTTTTGGGCACACATCTCATTTCAAGCCAGTTGTCACTATGGTTCCTTCCGAACTGACAGAAGAATTCCTTGTTCCTCCCGCCCTTTACAACAGCTGCCTCCCAAACAGGCCACAAGGGGTGAATATTCCCCACTTTCGTGGGTACTAATCTGCGCCTCCTAAGACTCCTCCCTCAATTTTTCTTTAAAAGAAAAGCTCAACTCCTCCCCCCGCCCCAAATTTTAAAAGAAAGCTCCCCCAAGGAAGAATCAACTATCAGTGTTCGCGTTCCCCAGTGCCAGGTTTGGAGTGGCCAGTTGTTTTTTTTCACTTTGGTGGAAGACGCAACCTCTAAAGGGGGGTCCCCTAATAAGTTTGAAACAGAGGTTGGTTGGAGAAATCACTAGTTTGGTATTAGTTTCAACCTGGGCCACTCTTCTTTAGTGTTCCCTTCCAGGATTTGAACACTTGTTTTCATTATTCGGGGGACTGTTATTATTAGGGGCGACGCATTAGCGCATAGTGTCCATTATGTGTAGATGTATTTATTTACATATCAAAGATACACACATTTGGCGTTGTTGCCTCATTCTGCGTGTATGAAAAGAGAGAAACAAAGAGAGAGAGAGAGAGAGAGAGAGAGAGAGAGTGAGAGTGAGAGTGAGAGGGAGAGAGAGAGAGAGAGAGAGAGAGACACAGAGAGAGAAAGAAAGAGACAGAGACAGTGCAATCAATATACACTGCGAGGCGCCAGCGGAAAGAAGCCGCAGCAGTTGCTTGCCGTTCTGCGAGTGCTTCCTAGGTGCCAACTCAAGAAAGGCGAGTTCTGCAATTGTCCGGCGAAAAGCGCCCAGTTGAAATAACTCGACCCTGGCTACCTCCAACTTGGTTCGTCAACAACTCCACGTCTCCAAACCCGGCAACCACGGATCCAGCTTCGAAGCCGAAGCCGACAGCGAGAACTGTGCAGGCCCCGCGCGTAGGTTTTTTTTTCCGGACGCCCGGGACCAAATTCAGAGTTGAATTGATCAGGCATATCCGAAGCTGCTCTACTGCTACACCTTGCGACCAAGACTTGCTGCTGACGAAAAGCAGCCGAGGAAAGCGCTCGATTCACTGCACAACGTTGCATCAAAAGGCCTGAATTGCTTGGCCTGAAAGCCAGCTAGTGTTGCTACAAGCCGACTTGTGCTTTCTATCGCTGCTCGCTTGTCAACCGCTGTTTCTTCCACACCACAAGCACTTGTTGCAGGATCGGTGTAGGCAAAACAGCTGACAAGCCTACAAGACACATGCCTTTGCATGCCAATGCCTGAATCGAATACCCATACTCTTTAGATCCGTCAATTCCCTCCTGCCTTTTTGGAGTGTGTACCTCTTCCAGTCACATGATCTGCAACTCAACAAATGTCCATTATTGGAGTCATTCAAAACACTTACCCTCTTAAAAAAATCCACGAACGACACCTTCCCTCGTTGGCTCAGTGTGGAAGCCGGAAACTCAGGGCCGTTGTGAAGAAACCATAGTGCCACTAAAACAAACGAGAACAATATGGTGCATCCCCAGTTGCTCAGTTGCCGCGTGTCCGTTCTAGAGAGCTTATAAGTCCAAGACGCACCACAAGCTCTGCCACAAGTTGACCCCGTGTATCGTCCGCCTGCGAGCTGAGTCCAAGCAAGCACCGTGGACCTTGTGATTGGAAAAACAACGCGACACATGCATACTCATTTCGTGGGTCCATTGATTTACAGGGTAGGATATTGTCAAACAATGCTTGCAAGATAATAATTCCCCTGGTGATTGCACAAGCACAAAGGCAAGCCAGAACAATCACATCCAAACTCCAAGGCTTCAAAGCAAAAACCCGCCGACCCCTTCTGCCCAAAAGGGGAGGCGCCTGGGAAGGATGGAACATGTAGAACCCCTTTATTTACATGGATACCTGGAGCGTGCCCGAAACTTCCGCACACTTCCAGCCTCCTTCTCCCTCTTGGCCGAGGAAATATTCTCCACCTCGATTCGCCACACACCGATTTAAGCTCCGGTGTGCCCATTGATCTTTGAACATCAGCTCACCAAAAGCAGACTGATTTCACAATGGCTAAAGAGGAGATTTGTGACATGCATGACTCAATGCGCGTGGTGGATTCAGACTATTTCAAGCTGGGAACAAGAAGAATTCAAGTCATCTCCGCTTGAGGCTGGCATTGCAACACGTAGCTGGATTCCACATAGGAAGCTTAGCACAAGGCTCATAATTGGGTTCATGTACAAACTGTGTTTCGAAGAATATGTATGTGGGGTTCTGGACATCTTCTGTGGCTCGATTCCACCCTTGGACAGGCTTGACCTAGCCAGCCTCACCATGGTTCGAGGCAAACCAACATATTGCAGTTGACTAAAGCAGATGTCGTGCCGCTCTGTAGGCCAATCTGCTCCACGCTTGCTTCCAAAACAGCCCTCAATACCGCTATTGGAATTCACCATAAAGGGCTGGGCGGAAATTGGCTGATCGTGCGGTTGTTGTTGGGCAAGAATTTGGAGCAACCTAGACCCGGAATGTGGGTTTGTTGTCTAAAACCATTTATTGAGGGATTGAGGCCTGCTTGCGAAAATGGTGTTGTGCTTAGCACCAAGCGGCACTGGGCGGCAGCCCTCTAATATGGACAACACAATGTTTCAGAATAAACGTGGGGCAGTTCCTGCCATGAAACTCACTGAGAAGCAAATTTAAGACTCCGGCATGTTTGTTCTCGCTCTTGACACCTTTGGTCACGTCATCCATGAGGCAGCCCAAGCACTCCAAGGCATCCTGCAGCTGAAGTAAGCAAACCTGATCAACTGCCTTTTTGTATGGCTGGCAAATTCCAACATTTGCAAGGCCAATCCTGTGCATAACGTGAGATGGCTGCGCCTGCTTGTTGGCTTTGTAGCCAGAGCCTCCTTGCCTACCTTGCTTGCTCTAGTGGCGTGTTGTGTTCTGCCAGGAAGTAACCGAGAAGGTGTGAGGATGTGTACTATGTAAAATACAAATGAACATATACATGTCGTGCTTGACTTCGGTGTATTGTCAGTGCCAGTGTTTGTGTCCATGCCTGTGTCTGTGCACGCAATCAGCAATTGCTTGTGCATCGTTGTCTGTGCACTCGCTTGTGGGAGCGAGACTGGGAGACAAGGGTGTGTGTGTGTGTGTGTGTCTGTGAGTGCGTGTGTGCCTGTGTACGCGCGTGTGCGCATGCGCGTGTGTGCATGTGTGCGTGCGTGTGAGTGTGCGTGTGCGTGTGCGTGCGCGTGCGCGTGCGCGTGCGCGTGCGCGTGCGCGCGCGCTGCGCGTGCGCGCGCGCGCGCGCCGCGTGCGCGTGCGCGTGCGCGTGCGTGCGCGCGCGCGCTGCGCGCGCGCGCGTGCGTGCGTGCGTGCGTGCTGCGTCGTGCGTGCGTGCGTGCG